ATGACATCTTCTCTCTCAATCAACAAACTGCTGATTCATTAATTCAGCAGGTACTTATTGAGTGATTTGGTGCTGGACCCTGGGATAGAATGAGAAAGATGAGAAAGGTCCTTACACTTCTTTGGCTTCTGGTCCTGGTGGTGGCCATAGCGTTTCTGTTTAAATATTTTAACCTTTGTTCTGCTTTGCTAGTAATCTAAGAACCACATGAAACAACTGAGTTGTGAGGAAGACCATCTCTAAACCCTACCTACCTGAAACCCATCAGCTTCTTGCTTGTCTCCTGGTGCCACCGAGTCCAGACCCCGTCACTTCCTATGACTGCTGCAGCGGCTTCTGACTGGTCTTGCGCTTCATTTTCCTTCCAACAGTGAAAATCAGGTCATGTTACTGCCCTCTCAGACTCTCCAGGGCTTTCCTGGCTGATAAAGCCCTGCTTAGCTCTGTCGTATCTCCCTCTACTCTTGTTGGCTGCTCTAGGCCAACCACAGCACCGTAGGAGAGGGAGGGATGCCAGGCTGGTGCCCTCCCACCTTGGGCCTTTGTACCAGCTGTCTCCTCTGCCTGCAGTGATCTTTCCCTGATGTTTGCATAACTGTCCCCTGATCATCCACATCTCAGCTTAGATTCACTACCTGAGGGGCCTTTCCCATCACCTCTTCGTAGCCCCAGTCACTCTCAGGCACGTTGCCCTATTTTATTATCCTTTTCTCACCCATTTAGTCTCTGAGTTCCTTCCTTAGAGCGGATGCACTGAGAAGCTCAGGGTTTTCACTGCACCTAGAATAGTATCTAATATGGTAGTAGCCCTTCGATCACTTGTTGAGTGGATGCAATGACCTAGGCAGCTATTTAGAGAGCACTTATTTGGGGAGATAGAGAGACATGGACAGGAATGCAGAAATAATTAGCAGTAGACTCCTGCTTTTGAGAAGTGGTAGACTGAAAGATGTATTGCAGTTGTATTTGCTTTACAGTAGAATGCTTTTGGGGGTTAGCTTTCAGTGAGTAGCTTATTTAAAACTATTATTTTGAAGTTAAATGTCACTGTAGAAGCTCAGTTGAATTATGTAATCTGAGGGAAAGAATTAGTTCACAGTGTAGGACTCACATTTCTTATCAATTCAAGAAGCATTTTTTGTTTGTTTTTAATTTTTAGAAAGGTTCATTCAATTGGAATGAAAACGCACTGAGTGAAATAAAAAGAGATCTTGACCAGCCCAGCTTGTGTGGCTCAGTGATTGAGCATCAACCCGTGAACCAGGAAGGAGGTCACGGTTCGATTCCCAGTCAGGGCACATGCCTGGGTTGCGGGCTCGATCCCCAGTAGGGAGCGTGCAGGAGGCAGCCGATCAATGATTCTCTCTCATCATTGATGTTTCTGTCTCTCTCCCCTTCTCCCTTCCTCTCTCTGAAATCAATAAAAACATATTTTGACCAGAGATCTACTATTACCAGGAGTGTGCTGTACCTGGGGGAAGACTTAAAAAGGACTAAAAATGAAGGTCACTGGTAGTGGAGCCCCCATAATTACAAAATAGAAGAATTTGGGAATGGTGACCCAAAATTATAATTTATGTTTCTTGAAGCTGTGTTTGCATAGCAAGCATGCTGTTTTTACTTAAAGTGTTTCTAATGGAGGTTATGAGGGACTAAACTCTTTAGGTTTCCTCCTGCCAGTCCCCTCAGCCCCTGTCCCCAGGAACTCACCTGGTTAGAGGCCTAAGACGTGGAATGGACAGAAGCTACTCCTCAGCACAAGATGACATGTGAGATTAAATATGTATATTTATCTATATACATGTGTGTGTGTGTGTGTGTATACACTAGGGGTCCTGTGCATGAATTTGTGCATCTTGAAAGAAACTGGTCCGCGAGGCTGCAGTAGGCACAGGGGCGGGTCCCGGCCCATCTCCGCGCCCCATCCCAGCCCCTGCCACCGTGGCCCCACAGCACTGGCCCCGCTTGTACCCACAGACGGTGCAGAGTGATTGGGGCCCGTGCCAGCAGCAGGTGCGAGCGGGGCCGGTGCCATCAGTGGGTGTGAGCGGGGGCTGCTGCCCTGATCGCCCCTCAGGAGCAGGGGAGGTGGAGAAGCCCTTAAGGGCGATCAGGGCTGGCAGCCGCTGCTCACACCCACTGATGGTGCTGAGTGATCAGGACCGGCACCAGGCACCGGCAGTGGGTGTGAGCGGCAGCTCCAACGCTGGTAGCAGGTCGGAGCACTGGTCAGGACTGTGCCGGGCAGGACCACAGCATGTGGGAGCAAAGAATTTTTTTTTCTTTTTCAAGAATAGTCAGTCCATTCCCTTTCTATGTCCCTGATTCATTATAATCACCAGTTCATTCTGTACATCAGATTATTTATTCACTTGGTTCTTAGATTCACTTGTTGATAGATGCATGTTTGTTGTTCATAATTTGTATCTTTACCTTTTTCTTCTTCTTCCTCTTCTTAAAGGATACCTTTCAGCATTTCATATAATACTGGTTTGGTGGTGATGAACTCCTTTAGCTTTTCCTTATCTGTGAAGCTCTTTATCTGACCTTCAATTCTGAATGATAGCTTTGCTGGATAAAGTAATCTTGGTTGTAGGTTCTTGGTATTCAGCACTTTGAATATTTCTTGCCATTCCCTTCTGGCCTGCAAAGTTTCTGTTGAGAAATCAGCTGACAGTCGTATGGGTATTCCCTTGTAGGTAATTGAGTCTCTTTCTCTTGCTGCTTTTAAGATTCTCTCTTTGTCTTTTGGGGAGCAAAGAATTTTAAGTAACCACCAGAGGCTCGCCCCAATGACAGCAACTGGCGCCCTGCCTTGATCTGGCACCCCCGCTCACCTGATCTACCATCCTGCCTCGGCCAACGCCCACCATGTTCCACACACACACCCCAGGTGGTCAGTGCACGTCATAGCGACCGGTTGTTTGGTTGTTGCGGTTCATCCGCCGTTCGGTCTATTTGCATATTAGCCTTTTATTATATAGGAATATTGACTACCTAGGAATTCAGGATTTTTAGAGATCATCATAGGCTGGTTTTGGTCAGGGACAGGACTGGATGGGGTTTTGAAGGGTATGTGATATTAGCTACTATCGGTGGTGGTTCCATGTGCCGGAGTTTTGTCTGTGCAGCACCCCCACACGCTGAGGCTTACACAGGTGAGACTGTGCCCAAGGCTTCCCACGTGGACAGTAGACTGGGCACAGAAGCACACTTTCCATGATCACTGTGGGGAGAAGGCGGTACTAGAGCAGCTGCCTGTGGTCACAGGCTCTAAGTGGCAGACCTGGGACTTCCAACGGGTTATTGCATGACTCTGACTTTCCTGTGTTTCCTGTTAAATCATGATTCTGCCAAGTAGAGGGTCTGAGGCAGAGACTTGTCTGGAATATCGTGGAAGGCATTCTGGGTCAGCTTAGTTGCTGATTGCTACATGGTTTGAGGGACCGCAGGATTCCACCAAATTTCTTACTAATCAGTCTGCCTCAGTTGGCTGTTATTACTTCGTTTCTTTGAGGCAAGTTCTGGGCTCTCACTTCTCTTCAGATAGGGATAACATAAGGAGAGGGGTGTGTTCATCCCAGGCCACCTAATGTGAGAACGGGGTCCCTTTCTCCCTGGTGGAAAGCTGGGGCAAAAGGAGGGTCATTCAGCAAACAGTTACTGAGTAACTCCTCTCATTCAGCTCCTGGGGACGGACAGCCGAGGGAACAGTGTGGGCCACGTGGAAGGGTGCAGGTCACGGGGGGAGCAAGGAATAATTTAGGCAGTTGGCCCCTGGGCTGAAGAAAGGAGGTCCTGGCATATTTGGGGAACTAGGAATGTGGGGCTGGATTTGGGGATTATTAAGAGTTTTAATGGGAAAAAGGAGTTGGAGAAATAAGATTCTGCATGCTGGGCTGAGGCGTTTTCCGTAACACTATGGGCACTGAGGGACTGATGCAGGGTTCAAATAGGGGGCATGAGAATCAGAGTTAGAAACACTGCCCTGGCAGAATCTGCGAGAAGGGAGAGAGAAAGGCCAGTTATAATGCAACAGACCAGGTGAGAGATGCCAAAGGTGGGGGCTCAGGTGGTAGGCAGGGAGTGGACAAAGGGACAGGTTCAAGGAAACTTTCATGAGGTAGAATCTGAATTAGTGACTGATTATCTTTGTGGTGTGAGGGAGAGAAAAAAAGTCAAGAGCGACTCACAGGATTTCATTTGCAATCTGTCCCCCTTGTTTTATAAAGGTTTGCAGCCCCACTGCTGAAGGTCCTTCTTAATGCCAGGTTTTAGAATACAGCCTCAGCTCATTTGCCAGATTTTACCAACTTGGGCTTTACAAACTGGAAAACATTGCTCTTTTTTTTGGCTGACATCTCGTTTCCTTTTTTACTGTTTTTAACTTCTGAAATTATTACAGTAATTTTTGTACTTCAAGGAATTGGTAAGAGCCTCAATAAATGAATAATCAAAGAAATGAGATCACTATCACAATCGACTGCAAGGTCATATGGTTCATGAGACAGTGGTGGGCTACAGCGTGGCTTTCTGATTCCCCAGCAGTTTATGCATCTGTGATAAAGTAGTGTTTGGTAGTGGACAGGCATAATATGGGATTCTGCAGAATTGTCAGTGAAATGGAGGCAGGTATCACTGTCCACTCTCTTTACTGACCACACTGGTCACACCTGGTCATTTCAGCAGCAGCAGGCACAGGAAGATGAGGTAATCAGGCAGGTCACAGTGGCACAGGTTGTATTCTCATCCCTTTAAGCTTTTACCACTCGGCGAAATCCTGGTCTGGAGGTGGGATGTGATCTGTGGTTTACCCAGGACCCCGGGTTCCACTTTTTTCTCTGGACTAATCCGGCTCCCAGCCTGGAGCCTGAGCACACACTGCATTAATCAGACTTGCTGTAATGATCACATGGTTTTCTCGCTGCCTCCCCTGTTAGCTGCCGCTTGTCAGCAGCTGGCGGAGCTGGAGGCTGCAGGCTCCTGTCTGCAGAAAGCCTTTTACTTCGGAATATTGGGGGGTGTGGAAACCCCGCCTCTTTTTTCTGCACTTTGCACCATCTGACTGACTAAATGGTTGTCCTCCGAACCAAAAAGGCTACCAGACAATCTAAGGAAATTGTCTCTGTCTAGGTCATGTTCGCATTTGAAGAATTCAGGTATGTTCTGGTTTCGTACATCTGCCTGCCGTTGGGTTTTTGTTCTCGCTAGGTTTTTGCTGTGTAATGACAGCTTAGGTTCCGGCTGGTTCTCACACACAAAAAGGGCTCTTCTCTGCATTCGGTGGGGTCTCTCCAGGCATGGGGGTCGGAGGTGCACGGTGGTGCTGGTCAGGGTGTTTGCTGCATGCACGGATGCAGCGTGGGTAATTGTTTGCTGGTGTGTGAATTTGCCGAGGGCCCCACCTTGTGCCTCATTTGAGCTGCTGTTGCAGGTGTAGAGTTAAGAATACAGAATAGCAACTGTTTATCCAGAATGAGTCTGTTGATAGCTTTTGTTTTTCTTCCTTTGTCAAACTCATGGAGTCGACTGCTCTCTTAAAAAAATGCTAATCGTAGCAGTGAAGGTGAAATTCTGCAAGTGTGTCTGCTTAGTTGAGATTTGATTTTGGCTCTGATTTTCCTCATCGTCGATAGCAATCTCATGGCTGGGCGGTTTTCTGGGAAGTGCCTTGGTAATGTCTTGTTAACCGGAGCCTTCTTTGCTTTTGTAAGCTTTTCAGCTGCTGTAATTATTAATGCTGCAAATTGGAGTCTTTTGTGAATCTTACTCCCTCTCTTTCCTCCATCTCTTCTCTGGGAATCTGTGTCTGGGGGTGAATGTGGGAAGGGATGTTCCAATAGAGATAGTTTCTAAGAAATGAAAATAAAGGAGGTAGAATGGGAGGGCCACCAGTCATTTATGTGCATGTTTCCATTTCTGTGGAACATATGGAGGAGAGCATATATGTGTCTGCTTCTGACCTCGGACAGCTTCTCGTTTCTCACATGGGATTTCTGTGTATCTTAGAACTGAGCATAAATGCCATGTTATGGGCAAAGATTGTGTGGGAACCTCAGTTCTGTTTCTTATAGGCCCTTTTTGTTCCCTCCAAATGTTGCTGCAACAGACATTAAAATGATAATAGAATAACCACTTTTCATTATTTGCAAGAGGAAACTAGAGACCTTTTAGTCAAAATCAAGGGAGTAGCTGAGAGAATCATCAGCTGTGCACACGGGTCCCCCGCCCTTCCTGTAAGCGTGGGGCTTTGGATCCAGGAAGTTATCCTTTGTTTAAGAGTGTGCCCCTGCATTATTCCTGATGGGTCGGGCTTGTGAAAGGGATATTCCTTCCATGTGGCAACATGCTCTGGTGACATGGGGCCTTTGCCCTTACACAGGGACCAGGCTTATTGTTTTCTAATAGCTCCATTAACAGCTAACAAGAATTTATTTAATGCTGGACAGGTTACAGTAGATCTGTCCTTTAAAAATGGAAAAGGAGCCCTGGCTGGTGAGACTCGGTTGAGTGTTGTCCCGTGCACCGAAGGGTCACCAGTTTGATTGCCGGTCAGGGCACATGTCCGGGTTGCAGGTTCGATCCTGGATCAAGGTGCATGCAGGAGGTGGCAGATAGATGTTTCTCTTCACATTGATATTTTTCTCTTTCTCTTAAATAAATCAATAAAAACACTTTTAAAAAAAAAGGAATGAAACAGGAGTCCTGGGTTCTAATCCCAGTTTCAAAATTAGCTTCTCTGATCCTTGTGAGAGTTTCGGAAGAGTTCTGTGAATTATAGAAAGTGGTAAGATTGTAAGGTTTATATTTTATTGTTAGCATTTATTCTATGGAGTAAGCCTTAGCTACTGAACAGAGCTCGGAGCCCTTCCCTACATTTCCTGAAGAGGGATGTGTATCAAAAAGCCATTCCCGTTGTGGTGGGCTCCTAGCCCAAGAGCTGGGTCTGAAGAGGTAGAAAAGGGTTAGAGTGAAAGACCACCACACTGCTGACCCGAGAAAGTGGGGCCCTCTATGGAAAGTAAGCCAGAAAAGAAGTCATCTCTTACCCCTGCTTCAATCTCCTGCCTGAGCTAGCCCTGAGCACTTTGCTGGATGTGATTGCAGTTTGTGACCGCTGCATAGTACTGGACAAGTGGCTGTCTTCTTTAGTCACCAGGTCCGCATGTGTGGGGCCAGGTGATCACAGTGGGGCAGCACAGGCACTACAGAGGAGCTTAGCTCAGTGGTTCTCAACCTTCTGGCCCTTTAAATACATTTCCTCATGTTGTGACCCAACCATAAAATTATTTTCGTTGCTACTTCATAACTGTAATGTTGCTACTGTTATGAATCGTAATGTAAATATCTGATATGCAGGATGGTCTTAGGCGACCCCTGTGAAAGGGTCGTTCGACCGCCAAAGGGGTCGCTGGTTAGCTTTTTAACTGAGGCCAAGGTGGTTCTCAAGCTGTAAGAGGCAGAAGAATCACCTGGAGGGCTCTGAAAACTCATTGCTGGGCCCCCTCCCAGAGGTTCGGATCTAGTAACTAGGTCTCGGTTGGGGCTTAAAACCTGCATGTCTAACAAGTTCCCAGGTGATTCCTATGCTGCAGGTCTGGGAACCAGAGAACCATTGGCTTGGGAGAAGCAGGCAGATTGCCTTTGAGGTGGGAAGTGTGCGGCAAAGGCAGGGTGGAGGTGGAGGTGGAGGTAGGAAAGAAATCAGGAGCCAGAGCAGCACACAGGCAGGTGGACCCGAGCCGTGCGCTCGTAGGAGGTTAAACGGGCCGCATGGGTCACAGCCCTCCTCCTCCTGGGAGGCCTCAGAGCGGTGGAGAGCACACTGATGTGAGGATCTTAGGATTGTCATCTGGACTATAATCCTGGTTCTGCCATGCACTGTCTTTGGATCTTTCTTTGTCTCCATTTTCTCAACTGGAAAATGGGGATAGCAGGTCTCCACAAGCAAATCTATAATGCTGTCAGCATTAAATGAGAACGTAAACTTGCTTGATAAATTACAGCACTCTTTCTATATGAACATAAGGGAGGAAAGGGCATTGAGAGTGACTCCATCCTCTTACCCACACACATTTACAGACCTCCATACACCTCAACTCGAGAGCACAGGCCCACACTCATTGTTAAAAGGAGGTCAGATTTTGACATGGACACATGTATATGCTGACTCCCTATTGGACTAGGAGTTCTTGAGAACTTTTGTGAATCATAGGTTTTTTGTTGTTGTTTTTAGAGAGAGTAGAAGGGAGGGGGAAAGACAGAGAGAGAGAGAAACATCTATGTGAGAGAGACACATCGACTGGTTGCCTCCCACATGCACCCCCACCAGGGCTGGGGATCAAGCCTGCAACCAAGGTACATGTCCTTGACTGGAATTTAACCCGGGACCCTTGGTGCATGGGCCGACGCTCCAACCATGGAGCCAAACCAGCCAGGGCAATGTGAATCCATGTGTTCTGGGTCCTGCATGCCTAAAACTGCTTGACACACAGTAAGGCCTTAATAAGCAGTTGACTGTCTCACAAGGATTTACCAAAAAAGGAAAAGCCAGCGAGCTCTCCAGCGAGCTCGGTGCAGGCCTCATGGTGCCAGCTGGTGTGCTCACTTAGAAGAGAATGTTGAAGGCTGACCACTGACCTCCGGAGAAAGATGTGACATGTCCTCAGCACATCCCAGTTGCTGGAGCACCAGAGAGCTCCGGCCGCATCACCTGAGGACTCTGCAGTGACCTCACTCTACAACCTGCTGCTGGTTATAATGGTTCGCTGGGGCCTGGGGCCCAAGCCTGGAGAGCTAGAGAACCCCGAGAGCATGAGAGGTCTGGCCAGCATTTTCCAGCGGTCAGGGGTTCTGGCCTCCCATTGACTGCAGTCCGCATCGTTCTAACACCAGACAAGCTGTCCTAGCTGGCTGTTGTTAGACACACTTTTCTTGTGGTTTTGCCTTTTTAAAGAAATTTCTTAGACGAGAAGTGTACTGAATGAATAGTCTAAGTCAGTGGTCAGCAAACTGCGGCTCGCGAGCCACATGCGGCTCTTTGGCCCCTTGAGTGTGGCTCTTCCACAAAATACCGACTTCTTCGCATAGGCCACAAATCGTACTGTACATGCGCACCCGCACGTGGTATTTTGTGGAAGAGCCACACTCAAGGGGCCAAAGAGCCGCATGTGGCTCGCGAGCCGCAGGTTGCCAACGACTGGTCTAAGTAAACATTTACCTGTTACTCCCCACCGCAGAGATCGTCGCCTGAGCACCACTGGAGACAGCTTTGTGGAATACTGGAGTTTTCCTCCCACCGTGAGACCCAGAGCCATGACCGAATGTTCTTCCCATCTCCAGAATGGAGAGTTTTCAATGTGATTTTGGCTCCATAATCCCTCAAGTGAGAGTGGAACCAAAATCAGAAACCACTGTTTCTCAAAGTTCCTGATACTTATTCCTACTTGCTTCCTGGGGAATGTGGTATACCAACTCCAGATCTCAAATCCGCAGGTGGAATGAGTCAGTCACGTGAAAATGGGAAGTTACGACTTTGAGTCTGTTTTCATTGTTTTAATTTTTAAATGTTCTGGACCGATTGAGGTTCAAACTCCAACTAACTTTATCTTCATTCATGCAAATTGATATGTGGTTTTGGGAAAAGATGTACCTTTTCTTGCCCTCCCACTGGAATATTGAAACGAGTTAAAATAAGTGGTTTCAGGGAACCCCTGAAGTTCGAAAGCAGGGAGAGCCCACACTCTTGTTCCCCAGGGTCCTGCAATCCTTGAAGAAACAGGTGTTTCGGTCCAGTGACATTCCACTGTGGTGTGGAAATACATCTCAGGTCAACGGGAGATGGAAGCTGGGCTGGGCTGGGCAGGATGGGGAAGGTACCCAACTTGATTATTGAGTATCTCCTAGGCGCCATATACTGCTAGGTGCTTCTCCCCTGGTAACTTTAACCACATCGCATCTTATAAATGAAAACGGAGGCTCAGGGACACAGAAACCCCCAAATGTATACTTTTACCCAGACCCATCCCAGGAGCACCTGGTTGGAGGAAGTAGGCAGTGGGTGGAGAGCTGAAGGAGAAAAACAAAGCAAGTGGAGGGGGGGGGAGGACAGACACATCTCATGGACTTGGCAGTTCCGCCTGTTTGTCTGACAAGCCAC